TGTTGGTGATATTTCATATTCGCTCCTTAAGTTTGTGAGTATTCATCCATCTTCATTTCTTCATTTGTTCATGTTTTTCTTAAAACCATGAGCTCTTCAAACTCTAGTGGGAGAAACATAGACTTGTATGCGGTGTCATCTGAAATGGAAATGACTATAACGAATACGATCAACCTTGTTCAAGCTATTAGGGTAAGCCAAAGTTTGCTGAGCCCTAGAGAAGGCCATTTAGGTTATGATGCTAATTGGGGAGGCTGCTAAGGTTTTGTCAAATCTTACCATTGCCGACTTTGTAGAAATTAGGGAGAAATACCGTATCCCTCACACAATCGAACTCCTAGCCCATTCGCCTGAGGAGGGAACCTACTTTCCTACGCTAGGATGTGTGGCCATTAATGAATACCTTCTTAAAGGAGGATTTCGTCTACCCCTAATCTATTCTTTAGGGTTGTTTTTAAGTCGTACAGGCTGACACCTACCTAGCTTGTCCTAAATGCATGGGCACAGCTAGTGGGGACTTATTTTATTTGGATAGAGACCTCCCTAGGTGAGGCATCCCCTCCATGTTTTCCAATCTCTCTTCCAACCGAGGGCCTTGGGGAAGGAAGACTCAAAAGGTTAGTATTCACTATGCCCCCGAGGAGCCCACTCTACTTTTGTGATAGGTCTTCCTTCCTCTATCAAATGGTGGAATGAGACCCGATTTTGGGTGAAGGAGAGGCGACAGATTTGTGAGGGTGATGGGGTCCCTAAGCTAACATTTCCTACTCACTATTTAGAAGCTTGTGAGTAGATTTTTGATTTTTTGTGGGTTACTTGCATTTATCATACTTATGGTAGTTTGACCCTCTCCATTTTGCATATTGAATAGATTGCTTTGAACTTTTTGAAGTTGAATTGGGCATGGTAGATAACGTATATTGTCGCCACCTATCTTTACGCAAGTTCGAGCGCCTCAGATTAAATAGGAGATTTTACAAAGAATTTGGCTTAATGGCTCGAAGAGATATAACTTTGATCAGAATTTTCATTTATTCTTTTATGGAGATCATTTTACTGAAGCTCCTTTGATTGTAGATAATTTCAAGAAGATAAAATACTCAACATCGGATATGGCGTCGATTTTGCTGCGACCTTCACATCCGGAAAGAGGGGTCACAAACCCTCATCTTCTAGGCCAAGCAGGTCAGGGATAAGGTTGAAAAGGGCAGCAAGGGGTTGCTGAATTGAAGGGCCACCTTTTATCAAAGAGTAATAGGAATGAGAAGGTTACGAAATCCCCTAAGAAGAGGCGCACATTCTCTTCTATAGGCGTAGAAGGGTCAATAGTATGTCCTCCACTTCCACCTCCAGCCCTTGCTGGAGAGAAATTGATGACAACCTCTATTGTTGTGGCAATGGGGGATTTGAAAATGGCCCCCTTCCACCATCTCCCTAAGGCAGGAGCTGGTGATGAAAAACAAGACCATCGAGGGCTCTTCTGTCGATGAAGGGGCTCCTCACAGGATCAAACTTACTTTGACTAAGAATGATGAGTTGGCTCTAGAAGCTCTGACCATGCTCCCCCTCGGAGATCCAGCGACCATCACCACCTTTCATAAATACTAGACAGATAGGAGGCAGGACTTTGTGCAGTCTAGCGATGCAAATGATCTTTTTGCTACAATGGTAAGCTAGATGGAGATGGCCTTTAAGGGTAGCCATAGATGCTGAAGTCCTCTTTAAAAACCTTCAAAAGAAAAATAAAGACATTGCTAACAAGGCCTCTAGTGCCGAGGAAGAGGCCAAGAAAGCAGGATCTGGCGCTGAGGCCATCGGGAAGCAATAAGTTGAGGAGTTCGTGAAATTCGCCTCTGCTTTGGCAGAGATTGAAAATTTTGAAAAAAGAAATTTACTTGTCGTAGAGCGAAGTACCTTCTCTGACTAGGCGAGTGAAGACTTTAGATCCATACCAGCAAATTGCTGCCAAGGCGCTGGAGCCTTTAAATAAAGAATGTGTCCTGCTGAAGTAGTAAGATGAAGGGCTAAATTCCAGAGTTGGTGGCCCGATTGAAGAAGTGGAGGCGGCTCGAGGTGAAACTCAATCTGCTGGAGATGAAGCGGTAAAGCGTTACATTGCCAGCTTTTAACAAACAGAAGAGTACGAGTGTTTCGTTAAGTATTGGCGGAGGTTCGCTTACACTGAAGTAGTCGAATGGATTGAGGTTCATTCTCAATCCATTGACATGCCCGAGCTAAGGTTGGAATTCTTGTAAAAAGGCGAACTCGAGGCCCTATCCAACTAAAGTAATATAATTGAATTGGAAGACGGTGAAGAGTCTGGGGGTAAGCAAGCTGAGAATGAGACAGTGGCTCCTAATGCCATCGTTCCGATAGCTGGTAGCCAGCTTGACACTTCTTCTTAGCTTTAGCTTTTTTTTTGTTTTCTTTTTGTAATTGGCACTTGGCCTCCAATTGTAATAAACCCCATAATTAATGAATTTTTTTTTTATACTTCGCGTTTATTTCCTGAATTTTGTATTGCATATTTACTTATGTTGTTATTTCATGATGTGCTTTAGTCTGAGAGTTGTTTAACTTGCTTTATAATTCGCAATTTGTACAAGTGTTAGATGGTCGTATTCCGTCGTAACTTGTTGTCTTTCTCGAGAATGGGATTGAGTGGGTTGCCCATGCTATGGCCTTCTCAATGACTTTTACCATTGGGGGCATGTGGTGTCCACTTTAGCGAGTAAGGAAGTGGTCCCCTTTAGGATACATCTCTTCGTTGAAGTGCCTATACTTTCTTGCCTGGTGATTGAACTACTAGGCAAGGGCTTCTCCCAGGACTTTTGTCGTTGGGAGGCTTTTTTCTTTTCAAGAATTTTAACAAAGCCACTTTAATTGAATTAAGAAATTTGTACAAACCGAGTATATATATTTCTACCGATAATACTTCCTCGAGTATTATGCGTTCCAAGGATGATGTTGTGCTTTTCCATCCAATTTTTCAATTTTATAGGTTCCTGGTCGAACCTCTTCTTTGATGCGGTAGGGCCCATCCTGGTTCTTCAGAAGATAAAAATACCATTCGTAGCACAGGGTCATTCAGACGAAAGGGCTTCTTCTTGACCTTAGAATTGTCGTACTGGGTTATCTTTCTTTGGTAAGCAGTCAATTTTACTTGAGATTCATTCCTCATTTTCTCAAGGAAATCTAGTTCGCACCTCATCAACTCGTCATTAGTTATTCCACAGAAATATAAGCGACCCTTTCGAGAAACTTACTCATTTTTGCTACCTTCACGACAACTTGTAACCCTTTAATAATGATTTTTAACACACCATCCACAATTTTAGTGGGATATTTTTCATCATCTAAGATAGGTATATATATTAAATTTCTTCTTGACTCGACTATATGTTTTGCATCAAAATATTCTCTAGTAACAATCCCTCAACGTGATAATTCTCATTGTTTTCGAAGAGAACTTTTCCATTGGCTGTTGTTTGATTATATGTGTAAAACTAGGTATCCCAAGAACAAAGTATGAGCATCCACTATTCGTTAGCTATGTCAATGAGTCGAGCATAGCCGAACCGAACCGAACCACGAACTGAAACTCAAAGCTCAGGCTCAACTCGAGCAAAATAGGTCCGAACTTTTTTGGGCCAGAGTCGAGCAAAAGCTCGGCCAAAAATTTTAGGCTCGACCCGAACTTTCGGCTCGGGCCGGCTCTTTTTTTTTTTTTTAAGTTGTTTTTTTGTGACTGCTGCCTGCAAAACGTAGGCAGCAGTCACAAACGCAGGCAGCTGAAATTAATTTTATTATTATTATTCTTTATTTTTTTAATACACGGGCCGACGCCCCAAAATGGGGCTCGACATGAGCCTCGGCTCAGTGGAATCGAGCCCAAGCTTCGCCTGCTCGGACTTTTTCTGGGTCGAGCTCGAGCCGCCCGAGCAGGCAAGCTCGGGCTGTTTCCGGGTCGAGCACGAGCCGCCTGACCCGACGAGCTTTTTTGCCATCCCTACTATTCGTCATTCATTCTAGCATAGTCTTACTCTCGAAGACTGCAAGAACTCGAAGATGATATGAATAATTTGTGATGTTTTGATTCTATGGGTTCCACTGCTGTTTTAAGTTTGTAGCCGTCCATTTTAAAACTTCCCACTTTACCACAACATCTCTTATTGGCTACTTTGTATGTAATGTGTCAGGAATCAAGTAGAAGTTTGCTGATATAATAGAGAATTGTTGACATGGTTTTGTAATTAACACCTAAATCACTATTTATAAAAACTCAAGTAATTATTTACACATTTCGAGAAATCCACAAGTACTATTCACTTATTTCCTATTTGGTGTAGATTAAAATCAAATTAAAATTTCAAGTAAAAGTTAACAATTAATTGTAAATACATAATTAATGGTACCCACAACTTTTTATTCACACATTTCATCAATCTTTATCAAAATATAATAAAATTTTGATTTTAATCTACACCAAAAAAGGCTTATTCACTCATTTTTATTTATAATTTAAATCGTTTATAAACACTTTACAAATAGACCTTATAGTACAATTCAAAATCGAGATTGTTATTTTGTCCATGTTTGGTTCAGATAAAAAAGTTATTTAAAATTTAAGTCCAAATTAATAATTAATTTTAATTACAAATTTTATGAAATTCATAATTTTTAAATCATGTGATCCATAAACTTTTATCAAAATTTATTAAAATTTAATTTTTATCTAAACCAAATAGGGGTTTTGTTTCACTACTTGTGTTCACTTCTTAGAGAGTTGAGATCAGTACTCAACCAATGGGCCGAGGCCCCAAGCCCATACACCAGAGCCCAATTCAAAATATAAACGAATTCATTTTCCCGCCCAAACATTTCGCTCGTTTTAAATTCTCCTTCATAAATTTCATTTTTTTTACCGTTTGTTTCTTATATTGCCGGATCGGAAATTGGGGAAACCAGAATCCCAATCCACAAAAACCCTTACACTAAGGATGGGGCTAGAGGCGGAATCGACTACAACCACCGACACGTTGAGGACCGAGTCGACTCAGTCGGCAACCCGAGCCCCGAGGCTTTTTATTAAGGAGATGGTGATGAAGAATTTCAAATCCTACGCTGGAGAACAGCGAGTTGGTCCTTTCCACAAGGTTAGCGTTTTTCAATTTTCTTTTATGACATTTTCTGAACTTGTGGGTTACTGATACCGTAGGAGAGTAAAATTAGTACCGCACTTAGTAAAAATCTTCGCTCGTAGTACTAAAAGTAAACAATTATTGGAATTATTGGATGGACAGAGTTTCTCGGCGGTCGTTGGTCCGAATGGGAGTGGAAAGAGCAATGTCATAGATGCCATGCTGTTTGTGTTTGGAAAGCGAGCCAAACAGGTAAAGATCATTTTTCTTTCGAAATTTAAATTTGTTCTGCATTGCCTCGTTTCTCTTTTTGGGACTTTCTGCGAGTTGTGAGCTCTACCAATAAGTTTGTCATATTATTTTATTTTTTAGATAAATTATTCAATGAGTTCACCATCACAAACCGTATATCTTAGAGAGGTTGTATTTTATTGGGTGGACAGTAATGGAATGCTTTCATTATCTAAAATAAAGAACATTTCCCACCAAAACAGTACAACAATACCGCTCACTGGTAAATTGCCCAATGGACCTTCGTGAATCTCTGCTATTTGAATACCATAACAAAGTATAGGAATGGAACAACTATAGCTCCTATATAAACCGCTAGGAAGATCACGTGAAAAAGTTGTGACCTAACAAAAGAAAGCGAGAATTCAAGCTAACTTATTTGTTAAGTTAGAGCCAGGCAGCCAGAAACTTCAGCTATATAACACTTCATTGTTTGGCATAACATATGGTTTAATTGGTGTATGATGGTAAAGCGTCCTTATGAATATACAGATGCGTCTAAATAAAGTGTCAGAGCTCATTCACAACTCTACCAATCATCAGAACCTGGAAAGTGCTGGTGTATCTGTTTACTTTCAGGAGATCATTGATTTGGTATGTCATACTTTTTGCTCTTTCTTGGTGTCTCAGCGTATTGTTCTAGCAGTCTGGTGCTTATAGACATGTTTTATGATGCCAAATACTTTTGTTTCATTATAGGATGATGGGAATTATGAAGCCGTTCAAGGGAGTGATTTTGTTATAACTCGTGTTGCATTTCGAGATAACTCCTCCAGGTATTATATTAATGATCGAGCGAGTAATTTTACAGAGGTGACCAAGTTGTTGAAAGGGAAAGGTGTTGACTTGGACAATAACCGGTTTCTGATTCTTCAGGTTTGGTATTTAATTAATATGTGACATGTGACTGTAGTTTATAGGAAATAGGTTTGTAATGTGTAACTTTTGGATATTAAAGTGTTGGCTTGTATTCAGGGTGAAGTAGAGCAAATATCACTGATGAAGCCTAAGGCACACGGACCCCATGATGAAGGTTTTCTTGAGTATCTCGAGGATATAATTGGAACTGACAAATATGTAGAGAAGATTGATGAATCTTTTAAACAGTAGGTTTTACTCTGCTATCTGAAAACCACGTATTGCCTCACTCATGTATACTGTAAGAAATATTTGGTATATTGTTTCTTATTTTGCTTGATGAAAAACTGTTTAGAAGGAATTTGCAACTTGAGTTGTGAAATTGCGTGTGCAGTATTTCAGCAGAACACGGAATTTTACTAATTAGGATCTAAAATTTATTAAGACAGTTATTTTTGCAGCATCAGATTGTTGAAAGTAACTAAATATATACTACTTTTGATGCGTATGATTTGTAGCTTTTGTTGCACTATTTGGGAATGTCTAAATGTTTATTTGCTATAATCTACTTGTAGAGGCACATAGTACTTCTATTGCTGATGTTTGCTAATTCTTTTCGGTCTTGTAGGCTTGAAGAACTTAATGAGAAGCGGACTGGAGTGGTTCAAATGGTCAAGTTAGCTGAGAAAGAAAGAGATAGTTTGGAGGCAAAGTTTAAAAACCTGTTAACTTAATATTGTTTTCTATTCCAACACCTCTAACATTATATTGCTTATTTTACCAGGGCGTGAAGAACGAAGCTGAAGCCTACATGCTTAAAGAATTATCTTTGTTGAAATGGCAAGAGAAAGCCACAATGCTAGCTTCTGAAGATAATGCTAACAAGATAGAGGAACTGCAGGCAAATATTTCGAGTCTGGAAGAGAATGTAAAGAATGAAAGGTTTCTGTTAACTCCAGGTTAAACTATATTAAATATAAGACATAATCCCAATTTTGCACTGAAATGACATGGGTTAATTATACAGGGAAAAAATTCAAGACAATTCCAAAACATTGAAAGAACTTGAAGGTTTGCACATGAAGTACATGAAAAAACAAGAGGTTTGTGTATTATCTTTGAGTGCTTTTAATTTCCAATTAATGAAAGCACTGTGAACATCTTTACTGTTGACTTTATTTGCCTTTTTAACATACAGGTGCTTAACTTATTGCTCCAATTAATAAGACTGTTAGGTTTTGAACCGGCTTGTGTAAAGATTTTGCCTGATACTTTTATGTTTTTGGGAAAATTTAGGAACTAGACAGTGGACTCAGGCGCTGTAAGGATGAATTTAAGGAATTTGAAAGGCAAGATTTAAAGCATCGTGAAGATTTTAAGCATTTGAAGCAAAAGATCAAAAAGCTTGATGACAAACTTGAAAAGGTACGAGGAAAATCAGGTCCCATCTTTTGTTAAGTTGAACGTATCTTACTTTCTCTTCTAAAACTGCAGGAGTCAGCCAAAATTATGGATCTCAATAAGGATTGTGAGGAATCAACAAACTTGATTCCACAACTTGAGGAAGACATTCCAAAACTGCAAAAAGTTTTAGCAAATGAAGAGAAAATTTTGGAAGAAATAAAGGAGAACTCTAAAGGTGGATTATCTACTGAACTTATAAACAAGTTGTTTGATAGATAGCTAAGTCATCACGATTCATTAGTTCTTGCATTTAACAATTAACAGTTTGCATCATATCTGGTTAAGTGAGGATGTATGCACAGTTCTTGGTACTTGTACTAGTACATTATTCTTGCTAGCAAAAAAATGCCAATCTCAGTTTGCATTGTGCTTATGATGCCTCTTGTTACATTTTTTGATGCATAACACTGGACTGAAGAATGCGTAATGACTGTGCCTTCAATGAAATGGCTTATTAATTTCCCACATCCACCTTATTCTCTTGTGCTTTGTCTTGGTGTTAACTCATAGTAATTAGGAAATTGTGAACACATACAAAAATAATGTCAGAAGCAACTAAGTGGTTACTCTTGCACCCCTAATGCTGGTCCTTCGATTTTAAAATAGATCAGGTAGGAGGGATTATAATGATTCATCAATTTAGTGCATGCATGGGAAGTGATTAAAAGTGGCATAGTGGAATGTGTAGATAATAAATTGGTAGCAGTTGTGAGTTCTAGGAAATGTGTAGATAGAAAAAGGTTTGACTAGCTTAGAATATAATATGGTCATTTCCTAGAGATGCACTTAGTTTGTTCACCTGAATTTGGATACCACTTTTTTGGTAATTGTGATGCGGAAGACTAGATTACCAAGACTATGGCTGTCCGTGAGTCGGTTCGGTTCGGTTCTAAAGAGACCCGAACCGACTCAAAACTTTCGGGTATTTAATAAATGGACCCGTCGGGTCCAAATATAATTATGGAACCGTTCAGGTTCGGTTCGGGTCGGTTCGGTTCCATACCATAATTAAATTTTTTAATATTTACAGCAACACTACATAAATACAACTAAAGACATTTTATTCGTAACTTTTACAAATTAACGTAGCCCAATTAAAAAACATATAAATAACTAGCCGTCCAATAAGATTAATTCAATACATACAAATACCAAAAAATAGATATTAATATTACAACAAAACTATATAAATTATATTCATTTGCTTCAAATTAAAATGGGCTAATGGATTTTAAAAATGATTTGGGTTTTAAAATTAAAATTATGAAATAATCTAATTTATTTAATTAATTTGCTAATTTGTATGAAAAAATAAAATAATTTAATTAATTCAATATAAAAATAAAAAAATTATTTAGTTTCGTTTCTTCGGTTCTTGGTCTAGACCCGAGACCCGACCCAAACACATCGGTTTTCGATTCGAGTACCCCTTCGGGTATTTAATTTATGAAAAACCGCTCGATTCGGTTCGGGACTTTTGGACACCCCTAACCAGGACGATTTCCAGGCTCAGTTTAGCGAATCAACTAACACCTCAATGAACCGAAGTAGAAAACCCACCACTATTCCACACTTTTGGTTGTTTCTTATCACCCACAAAGGATGCACAAAGGAAGGTGTATTCACGGTATAAGATCAGTTACAAAGGCAGGGCAAAGGAGAAAAACAGTAGGCGCAGTCACAGAGAAAAAGAGCAGCCGTGTTTTTCCAAAGGCAGAGGGAACGAATACTCACATGTCAGCCAAGGAAGACAACCAATGAATATATAACATTAGGGTACAGTAATGAGCTAAATCCAATATGGTGAATAAGTCGTCTAACGTTCATGAGCCATCTAGATAAGTGGGAAATCGGACACGAGCAACACTAATTAAATTATGTTGCTTCCAATGACTCAAATAGTTTTAGGGTCGGGTAATTTCATTAGGTTGTCGATTTTCGTTCAGTCATTTGTTCTACGTTGACAGAAAATTTATCGAGTTATATCATAGTCCGGGAGGTCGTTTAACAACAATTTGTCCAACAATAACAATTATTTTTGGGGTAACAGGCCTTTAATTTTATAAAAGTTGGTTTCATTTCCCCTAGTTTTGAATTGTGAAGTAATTAGTAATTGCCAATTTGATTCGAAGTGCCCCCTTAATGAGGTAGATTTTTAATTATATAGCCATAGTTAGGTACATGAAAAGAAAGGAAATATACACAGAACTAGATCAGCCATATTCTCTTTATATATAGAAACTCAATCAGCACAATATTTGAGAAATAATAACGCTCTATTGACATTCTCCCTTAAATTGATGCGGGGGAATCTGGAAGCATCAATTTGTCTAGTAAGAAATGATGGCGCTTGAAAGTAATGGCTTTAGGGAAGATGTCAGCTAATTGCAGATCACTAGTAACGCATGGGAGAGAAATGGCTTTATCTTCATAAGCATTACGAATAAAGTGACAATATACCTCAATATGCTCATGGAATACAGGATTAGTAGTTATATGAATTGCACTCGTATTATTAGCATGTAATGGCATGGGATCGAGCTGAGAGAAACCAAGTTCATCCAGTATACGACGAAGCCATAGAATCTCAAAGCAGGCTTGGGACATTGTACATTATTCTGATTCAGTAGAAGATCTTGAGACCCAATCCTGTTTCTTACTCTTCCAAGAAATTAAAGTAGTGCCGAGAAACATACACCAACCGGTAGTAGACATGCGAGTATTCGCACAACCAACATAGTCTGCATCACTATAAGCCGAAAGAACTATGGAAGACTGAGTAGGATAGAGCAGATCGCAAGGAGTTCCTTTCATATAGCGAATCAGTCTCTTGACCGCAGCCAAGTGAAGATGAGTAGGAGCCTGAAGAAACTAGCTACTTGCTGGACTGCAAAAGATAAGTAGGGGCGTGTAATAGTAAAGTACACAAGACTCCCAACTAATGTTCGATATAGAGAAGGGTCAGGTAGAAGCACCCCATCCTCCTTACGTAGCTTAGCATTCACCTTTGTAGGAGAGTCACTGGTAGAGCTATCAATAAGTCCAGCAGATACCACAATATCAGTGGTATATTTATGCTGATTAACAAAGAGACCACCAGGAGTAGACTGAATCTCGGGGCCCAAGAAACAAGTGAGACGACCAGGATCTTTCATACGGAAAGAAGCTTGTAGATGAGCCTTTAAGCTAGCAATCAATTCAGTGTCGGACTTGATAATAACAATATTATCCACACACACTAAGAGCACAACAATGCCTGTAGAAGTCTTGCGTAGAAACATGGAAGCATCATACTTGCTCTTAGTGAAAGAATACTACTGTAAAGTGGAGCAAAATTTATCATACCATGCTCGAGGTGCCTGTTTCAGTCCATACAAGGACTTTCGAAGTTTGCACACAACTATTGAAAAAGATAGAATTGTATTTTTACATGAGCCAAGAATAATTTGAAGGCATTAAATACTTCAGATTTAGCACGAAGGAAATAGATTCACGTGAATCGACTATGATCATCTATGAATGTTACAAAGTATTTAAATTGAGCACGTGAGATAATAGGTGCAATTCCCCAAACATCGCTATGAATAAGTTCAAAACATTTAGATGCACGACTAGTAGATGTAGGAAAAGGAAGTGTTTTGCTTTTAGCAAGTTTGCATAAAGAACACTTAATGGAAAATGCAGAACTATTACTTTTATTATCCAGTAAACCAGAATTCAACAAATGAGCTAAGATAATAGAATTAGGATGGCCAAGCATCTTATTCCATACTATAGGAGAGTTATTAGACACAAGTAAGAGAAAACAAAGGTGAAGGTAATGTAGAACTCGAAGGACAATCATGTAGCGGAAAAAGAGGTCCAACTCTAGGCCGCTTTGCTATCAGTTGTCCCGTTTCCTGCTCTTGCACATAACAGCCATCAAATGTAAAGTGAACATCACATTTTTGATCAAGGCCCACAGAAATCAAATTAGTAGATAGTATTGGACAAACAAACACATCCTTAATAGAGGAGTTGATATAACCAATAGCCTTAATAGGCAAATGTTCATTTTCCGTTTGAATCAGGGATGAACCAGTATATGAACGAACATTACCGAGGTCCGTGGCTGAATTAGTCATGTGATTTGAAGCACCAGAGTCCAAGGACGTGAGGATAAGTGTTTACCTTGCAAACCAAGTGTAGAAAAGGCAAATAAAATCATTTGTTGGACCATTTCATGCGTTAAAGAGGGTTAGAAAGGTGTACCCTGAGGCATCACAGCGGCTGATGCAGGCGGGTCAGCAATGGATGAGAGGCAAGAATCAACAGTTGGAACACTAACAGCTTGCAGAGCTTGTGAAACGAGTCTTGGAGGTTGAATAGGGCATTCCTTGATGATATGCCCGTCTTGCTTACAGTACTTGCAAAATTTATTGGGACATTGAGGAACAACGTGCCCGAACTGTTTGCAAGAATAGCGTTGTGTCTTTCTGAAATCACGAGCGCGAGGTTTCCCATAGGCAGCATAGGCCATGGTTACAGGAGGAGAACCAGCATCTTGCAAGCTGGTTTGAGTGGCCAAGCGCTGCTCCTCGCGAAGAAGTTCTCCAAAACAAACCTCCAAGGAAGGGAGGGGGGTACAGTCTAGTAAAGAGGAGTGGACAACTTCATATTCAGGTCGTAATTTCATCAAGAATTGGCTACGCTTTCTATTAAGATGAATGGTCTCGAGAGCAGCATGTGTGGCAGTTGGGACATCAACCAAAATAATTTCTGAATAATCAGCCTAAAGACTCATGAATTGGGAGTAATAATTCTGAATGGACGGTGATCCTTGAGACAGATGAGAGATGTCCAACTCCAATTTGAAGCTGCGAGCGGAGTTATTTTGGTAATAGACGCTACGGAGGTAGTGCCACATCTCTTTGGCAGTCTTGTAGGGTTGAAGTTGAAGTAGGATGTGAGGTTCCATAGAGCCAAGAATCCAAGAGCGAATTTGGGCATCTTGGATAACCCAAGTCGCACTCGAAGAGTCCTGCGATTGTTTTTCCTTCGCAATAGTAGCAACATCATTCTCAGAGCGCTTCGGAGCTGGAGAATCATCAATATGATTCCATAAATCCTTACCGCAAAGGTAAGTCTCGAACTGAAATTCCCACGTGGTGTAGTTCTTGCCTGTGAAATGGACACACTGTTTTTCAACTCCGTCCATGGGAGACAAGAACAACTAAGAAAGTTTGAGAGGACTAGGGGCTATGGAGGACGAACTGAGGAAAGAATAGGGGACTAGACTAGAAAAAAAAAAACTAGGGGGCTCTGATACCATGCCAATTTGATTCCAAGTGCCCCTCAATGAGGTGGATTTTCTATTATATAGACATGGTTAGGTACAGGAAAAGAAAGGAAATACACACAGCCATATTTACCCTCTATACAAACTAGATCAGCCATATTCTCTAAAGACAGAGAAATTCAATCAGTACAATATTTGAGGAATAATAATGCCCTATTGACAGTAATAATCAACTAATCACCTTTTGCCCATTTATTGTTTGTCTTGTTATCGAGGTGCAATTAACTTTGACTCTTTGCAATTTTGTTTTACAGCCGAAACTGAGGTTTTACGTGGTGAGCTTGCTGAAGTTCGTGCTGAACTAGAACCATGGGAAAAGCAGTTAATCGATCATAGGGGGAAACTTGATGTTGCATTGGCTGAAAAGAAGCTTCTGAATCAAAAGGTGAGGACCAGAGTTTACCATTTACATTTAAGTGGCTGCAACTACTTGTCATGCATTGAATATCTCTTCTATTGACACACATAACTATTTTTCTTGCTTCTCAGAGTACTTCTACAAAACTTTGTTCAAGCCATCAAATGTTTTTTCTGATGTTTATGAAACTTCCTTTATTAGAGGCACAAAACATTCTGTTGCACTCCTTCATTTTTAGATTAGAAGAACAATTTTTGAAGTTCCAGCTTCTCCTTTCAACAGGAGATCTGTTTTGCAAACTTCAGAATTTTTCTTGTTTCTTGCAGCCACTGGGTCCTAAGTATTTCCCATCTAGATTGCAAAAAACGACCAAAACAAGCTAACTCTATATTATATGTCTACGATTCCAATTCAATCAAATGAACAAATTTAATAGGAGCAATATGAACTTCTCATAGTCTATACCCTGATGGAGAACTCTGAAAAACTTTTTACTTTGGTCGCTTCAATAGATGGGTTTCCTTAACTATCCTCACTGAATGTTCCCTTCGATGTTTCAGCATCAAGCTGGTCATGCAGCTTATGAGGATGCACAAAAGCAAATAAGTGAAATAGAAAAGAAAATTGAGACAAGGACTTGTAGTTTAACAACTCTTCAAAATGAGCTAGAGAAGAACATGCATGACGCAGCACAAGCTCGTAAGATGGAGCAAGTAAGCTATTGAACAAGTTTTTTCATCATTTTTTTGTGCAATTGTCATAGTGATTGATTGGTGCTGTTGCAGACATGTGTTGAAGAACAAGAAAGGTTGATTCCTCTTGAAAAAGCTGCAAGAGAAAAGGTTTCAGAGCTTTCAACTATTATGGATTCTGAAAAGAACCAAGGTTCTGTATTAAAAGCAATAATGGAAGCTAAGCAGTCAAACCATATACTTGGAATTTATGGGCGAATGGGAGATCTAGGAGCTATTGATGGTGTGCACTCCTTTATTCAGCTTGTAGTTCATATTCTGATCTTATTTCACAAGAAAAGCAAATTATGTTCCCCTCGTTCCCGACTTTTAGTGTTAGTCATAGTAGTAATCTGCTTTTGGAACTCTGTACTACCAATTTGGCGAATCACTACGTTCTTTGAACTTTTATATGCATAATAGCCTTAGAATTAGCATTTCCAGAACAAGATAATAATTATGTTAATTGCTTACTTCGGATTGACAAGAGTGCTTTCATATGATCTGTTTTCAATGGTTATTGACATCAAGAAGAAAGGATTTACTCTTATGACTGTCAAGATTCAAGCTGAAGTTTAGCCTTCTTGGGTTCTAATGTTTCCAAGTTTCCCTTTTGCTCATATTTTTTTGAATGGACTGGCTGATGGCACCAAGGCCATTTGAGAATTTCAAATTTATCAGGTCAACCTTTCAAATAAATTTTGGTTCAATTTATTGGTTTCAAGAATTACTTTTGCATTTTAACAGCAGGGTATATTTTTCTTTTGTGTATGTGTGTTATTTGATGATATTACCAAGTTTAATTGATGTTTATGATGTCACATACAATATATATTCTCGTCCTCTGATTCCATCCTTTTATTCTAACTTCCATATATAGTTTCACGTCTGTCAATCTGCTTATTTACTTCTCCATTTCTGTTAATCTCTCCTTACAGCGAAGTATGATGTCGCCATATCAACGGCTTGTTCTGGACTTGATTACATTGTTGTGGAAACAACTGCTGCAGCACAAGCATGTGTGGAGCTGCTTCGTAGTAAAAACCTAGGTGTTGCAACTTTCATGATTCTGGTAAATATTTTATTTATAATTTAGCAGATATTAGATCATTTATTTCCTGTTCTTTGAACAACCTATTGATACTTACAGTGCCTATGATCACATGTAATTGATTTTGGCCTTTGGGCTGGGAGTCATGGCACTAAATTGGTTGAAAATTTATATAATTAGAACTAAATTTGTCCTGTTGTAAAATCATTTATTTTTGTTTTGTCCTGCAATGGACTGAGTTCTCATAAAATTTAGACTGCATTAAGTTCTTTTATGTCAGTTTTTGTATGCTTTCTGAAATTGAACTATTGTTCCGTGGGAGTTAAATTCTTGAATCTGTGATAATTTCCAGTCTAAATATAATAAAGAAAGGGTTTGCAACCGGGAGGCTTAGAAATCTTGAATACTGGGAGAGATTTTTTTTTTTCCACACTGTTGCTGACTACTATTTTTACTTGCAGGAGAAACAAGTTGATCATTTACCAAGATTGAAGGAGAAAGTAACCACTCCAGAAGGAGTTCCACGCCTGTTTGATTTGATCAAGGTTCAGGATGAGAAAATGAAGCTTTCTTTTTTTGCAGCATTAGGAAATACAGTTGTCGCAAAAGATATCGATCAGGTTTGTCCTTGCATAAATTTTTTATTATGGATCTTTCTTCTTCGGGAATGATTTAACAAAACCAAATTGATATTGATTATATCATGATCATTTTTTTCTTGTTTATGTGAATTTTGATCGATCATAGCTTTCATGTTATTCACTGTTGATTGAATATAGTTTTTGTATGAATTTAATGTAATTCAACCAACAATTTCGGAATTGTTGCTAAAATAATATACTGTCTGCAAAGTTAATGTCATGAGATTGTATCTATAAAGTGTGCTGTTAGTAGAGTATCGTAATTATCCTCTGTTTGGGAAGAATTTAGAAACGGCTTAATTCATAAGATGAAATAAGTGGTGGATAAGTGAATAGCACTTGTGGATTGATGGAATGTGTGGTTGAAAATGAAGTTTGACCATTTATAAATGAATTATAAATTTTGTCAAATGGAGGCTTAATCACGTTTTCTGTTATGCATTTTTTCAATATCAGGCAACTCGTATTGCTTATGGTGGAAAGAAGGAATTCTGGCGTGTTGTGACACTCGATGGTGCTCTTTTTGAAAAATCCGGAACTATGACTGGTGGCGGAAATAAACCACGTGGTGGTAAGATGGGGACATCTATTCGAGCTGCCAGTGTTTCCAGAGAAGCTGTTGCAGATGCTGAAAAGGAGCTTTCTACTTTTGTTGAAAGCTTGAGTAATATACGAAAAAGAATTGCTGATGCAGTGAAGCATTACGAGGCCTCAGAAAGAGCAATCTCTCACCTTGAAATGGAATTAGCAAAAAGCCAAAAGGAGGTCAGTGTTGTCTCAGATAATTTCTTTTCAACTGTTCATAATTTATATTGTACACTCAGGTTAATCATACACTATTTTTCCTCAGATCGACAGTTTACGATCGCAACTCAGCGATCTGAGAAATCAATTAGATTCCTTCAAGGCAGCATCAAAGCCGAAGAAGGATGAGGTTGATAGGCTAAAGGAACTTGAAAATATCATTTCTGCTGAAGAGAAAGAAATAGACAGGCTTATGCAAGGTTCTAAACAGTTGAAGGAAAAGGTTGTGAGATTTTATTTTTCCATCTTTAAATTAATACATAGTAATTAATCTCCTTGCAAACAAATTTTAACTTGGTTTTTAGGTTTCAAATTTGTCTTGTAGTACTTTTCTGGTAGGAATTGCTTAGTATCCTTTTGCCATTGTTATTGTAGGCTTCCGGGCTTCAGAACAAAATAGAGAATGCTGGTGGTGAAAGACTGAAAAATCAGAAGTCTAGGGTTAATAAAATTCAATCCGTGAGTATTTAAATACTTAAAATGAAAATTTAAATTTCGAAAGAACAATTATGCCAATTCATGGTGCTTTATTGTCAGGATGTTGATAAAAACAGTACTGAGATTAACCGTCGCAAAGTTCAGATAGAAACCGGCCGGAAAATGATAAAGAAATTGACGAAGAGTATTGAAGAGTCAAAGAAGGAGAAAGAAAGACTTTTGGAGGAAAAAGAGAGAATGCATTCCACATTTAAAGAAGTTGAACAGAAGGCTTTTACTGTTCAGGAGAACTATAAGAAAACACAGGAGGTTAGTTTTGTAGATGAGTGTAGATATTACGTTTGGCATCATATGAAGTCAAATGGTTTGACGAGTTTTTTTTCTGTATGGTGTACTTTTTGTATTTGTAGTTAATTGATCAACACAAAGATGTTTTGGATAAAACAAAAGTTGACTACGAGAGACTGAAGAAAATTGTGGATGAGCTGCGGGCTTCAGAGGTTTGGTTCACCAACTTCTTTCACCGTTTCCATTTTGCTAGTCAATCTATTAATAAACTGTTGTAACTGTTAGTGCAGGTGGATGCTGATTACAAGTTACAGGATATGAAGAAGGCCTTTAAAGAGTTAGAAATTAAGGGGAAAGGATATAAAATAAAAATTGGTGAACTACAAATTGCTCTCACAAAGCACCTAGAGCAGTAAGCATTATCTTCTCACAGCAGTGTTGCAATTATAGAGGGTGTTTAGAACCTTCCTTATTTCCATGTGTGTGTTCACCTTTTCAGTTTCTATATGTGGATGCACCAGTTCTGAATTTCCGTTTTTATTGGCACAGGATTCAGAAAGATTTGGTGGATCCAGAAAAGATGCAAGCAACACTGGCAGATGGAACTCTTGAGGATACTCATGACCTTAAGAGGGCTCTTGAAATGGTGGCACTTCTTGAGGCTCAATTGAAAGAGATGAATCCAAATCTTGACTCAATCTCAGAGTATGCACGTGACTCTGGTCTTTTAATAAGATATAAAATTGTAGCAAATTTCTTCGATGAATATCTCTGTGCTAACCCTAATAGTTCTATTAGGTACCGAAAGAAAGTAAACTTATACACTGAGCGAGTTGAAGATCTTAATTCAATCACTCAACAGCGTGATGATGTAAAGAAGCAGCATGATGAATTGAGGAAGAGAAGGCAAATCTTTCATCTTCTATACAGTAGTAATTGTTTTAATACATACCTGCTCAATACCAACATTTTGTTTTAACATTTTCAGGTTAGACGAGTTCATGGCCGGTTTCAATACTATATCTTTGAAATTAAAAGAAATGTATCAGGTATATTTACTCAATAATTCTGAATCCTTCTTTACCTGTACATCTAATTTCCCGACACTTGTGCTAGCTGTGTCATCTTTCTTTGGACAGTTGCAATCCATTTTCTACGTACTCGAAATATTAAGGCAACTAAAGTTTATATTAAGGCAACTAAAGTTTTGTGGGTGGGTAAAAGAATAATGTGAGAAATAGCTAATGCTGTATTTAAGTCAACAAAATATTTAAATGTCAAGAATCCTGTTCTATTCCAGTTTTAATTGTGCGAACTTAAGACAGTTGATGCATATACAAATCTTGTAAAGTTGATTTATTTTGTTTCTTCTTCGAACTTTCAGTTGTTTTTCTTTGTTTTTTGCCATCAATTATATGTGTATTAGTGTTAAATTTATTCTCAAAGGCTACATTTGTTGCTATCGTGGCCATTTTGTTGCTTTGCGACAGATGATTACCCTTGGAGGTGATGCAGAACTTGAGCTAGTGGACTCCTTGGATCCCTTTTCTGAAGGTGTTGTCTTCAGTGTCCGGCCGCCCAAAAAGAGCTGGAAGAACATTGCAAATTTATCCGGGGGCGAAAAGGTATTTTACACTTGCTTGGAAAACCTAGCAGTAGACATGTTCGCCACTCAGTTTTTGTTTTAACTGTCTCGTACTGATATTTCAGACTCTTAGCTCGTTAGCTCTCGTCTTTGCCCTGCACCACTATAAACCTACTCCACTTTACGTGATGGACGAGATTGATGCTGCATTAGGTACCTTTACAATCATGTCTAGCACTTGATCAATTATGTTATACTGTTATGTTCTTTCTTAATCTTCTGTTCTATTTCTATCCTTGGTTTCTAGATTTCAAGAATGTTTCAATTGTGGGACACTATGTGAAAGACCGTACAAAGGATGCACAATTCATAATCATAAGGTAGACTTGGAGAAACTATGCCCCTGTTTGGTTTTGATAACAAATAAATTTTTAATACACTTCGATAAAAGTTGAGGAAATATGTGGTTGAAAAGTTGATAAAAATTGTGGGTTCCATAAAATTTGTGGTTGAAAATGAATTTGGGAAAAAAAATGAATTTTTAAGAAATAGGGACCAAATAGAAGTTATATGTTCTATTATTTGAACCACTACAGAACATACGCATTTATTGTCTGTTTTTATGCAATATGCAGCCTTCGGAACAACATGTTTGAGTTGGCAGATCGGCTTGTTGGAATCTACAAAACTGATAATTGCACCAAGAGCATTACCATCAACCCGGGAAGTTTTGTAGTTTCTGAAAAGGTTTTTTGAACTGTGTAGCTGCCTTCTAACGGGATAGATCTCGTGTCCTGTCAAACCTCAGCCGGGCAAGTAAGCGAGGTCGGGACATGCGTATTTATGCACACTTAACTTATGTAGTGATGTTAAATAAGATTGATGTCTTAAATTATATTATAATTTCTTATTTTAAATTGAGGTTTGCTTTGAGCTGCAGACAAAACGTGCATTGATCATCCTTTAGTTTCTCCCAAACGTCCTTAATAAAAAATTGTGATTCCCATGTTATTAATCTAAAAGGAAGGGCTATTTTGAGGAGTCAATTGTGATATCATATAGGATTAGATTTACAATATCTCGTTTCACGTGCATTTTAATATAAGTCATGTACGAGTGTGTTTTAAATGACCTTAAAAGTTCACTTTTAGCTTCACGTCTCTATTATTATAATTTTTAAAACAAATAATCTCAGGAGTCTCTTCCTATCTTATAGCACATACGGGAATTAAGAAATATACACAGAACAAACGTGACGTTAATCTGAAGTTTTGAGTGGCAGAAAACTGTTTGTCAGAAGCAAAAATCTGTTGGCAAAAATTGTTGGAGGCTGCAGAAGAATAACTAAATTTAATTTAAAAACACCTCGAGTGAAGAAAAAATCATTAAAATCAAGTAATTAAACTGTGCAAATGTATACCTGTTGGAAACTTGATTGGCCAAAAACTGTGAAGAAAAACTGCACTAAAGTTAGCCACCAAACCTGAAATAGAAGGCTTTGCTACCTGCACGGATAAAATTCAATTGAGAAACTAATATCTGCAGAACCTAAAATTTGAGCCAGCCAATCATGGGATCACACTTGAACTATAGGAACCCATTTCTCAGGAGATTATTTTAGCATTAGCAAGATCGAAAGGTTCGGATTGACTTTTTTCAACCACTTTTTTTTACCGATTTTTCTGAAAATTGATTATAAATATAACTTGAAACTTGTTAATTCTTGTGCCCTTGATCATCTTCATTCGATTTTGAATTCATTGATTCTAATCCTACAATAAAAATTTGATTTAAGTTGACAACAAAATACATAGAAATAAATAGAAATAAAGTCAAAATAACAAAATCAAAACCAATAAGAAAAACAAAAAAAAGGAAGAGATGGAAACAATTGGAATGGCTCCCGATGCTTTTGTGCTTTTTATGCCTTCATCGATCGACTTCGTCAATTTCAATTTCAGAATTAAAAAAGACAATTTCGAAAAAAAATAAAAATGAAGGCACATATTGCTGGAAAAGCATACAAGTCCTCTATTATCAATAAAATCACTTTAGACAACGAAATGCTTGAATCTGCAAATAAATTATTTTATCCTCCAATGAAAACCAAAGTAAAAAATAAGCCTAGCATTGCTAGTTTTGGGTATGGTGGGAGCGACCTCAACAAACAACAGATATGAGGTCTAGAAACTAGAAAGTCTCTTCTTTCTTGATTGGTGATTAGAGACTTGGTAAAGAAAATAGAAAATACACTTTTGCCACATGCAATAGACCCAGTTTTAAAGGACGATTCAGTGGGGACTTGCCATGTAATATCGGCGATCGGCAAGTTAAAAGCGAAGATCGATGGTGGCAACGATTTGAGGTCTAGATCTAGAGAGCAAGAGAGAAATGAAAATTAGGGCTGCAGACTTGTTGACATCTGAGTTGCTTCGTATAAATCTAGGTTTTAATTGAATTATTATTATTTTTAACTAGGCATGTCGAGTTGGGTGGGTATATATAGTTTGATGGGTTAACCCATCACCGACCCGACCCAGGCAAGCTTAGCTTACCCACGAACCCACCTAAAAAAAAAAAACCCAACATAACCCAACCCGTTCGGTTCGGTCATGTTCGATCGGGTTTTTACTCCCCTACTTCTATGAGAAATCAAAGGCAATTCTCCATGGTAAGACACTTTCTTTCAAACTCCGATCAAATCCTAATCAGTACGAGTAACAATATTAGGAAAGAAGAGAAGGAAAAACAATTTGTTTGATTTTGTAGGTTATCGTCATTTGCTTTCTCTTCTACACAATTACTTATGTAATAATAGATATTTTAGGGTATCTTATGTTCGGTTCAGAAAGTACAATCACAAATAACACTAAACCTCCCACTTGAAAAGATTTGCTCATAAGTGGGCATATACACTGCCATGGTGAATCCTATAGCCAAATATGCATGGATGCTAATGCCAATTGCAAATGCAATTGAAAATCAATGCAAGTCCTATTGCAATAAAAGATCCTTCGGTCCAATGTAGTGAAACATTGTTGACCAGCAGTATAATAGCAGCATTCACTTTTTCCTTTTTTGGGCTTCTAATGGGCCTAGTTGGAGCATTTTTGAGTGTCATGGGCTCAATATTAGTTCCATGTTTTCGTAACTTGAAGATTAATGGGGCTTATAGGAGGTTTGGGCTTGAAGAAGTGATTAATGGGCTCACAGTGTTAATGGGCCTTGTAATTCTAGTTACTGGTACATACACATCTTCAGTTCAGATAGTACAAAATTGCAAATTATTTCATCAAGCCCCCGTTTGGTTTAATTAAAAAAATCAATTTTTTAGTAGATTTCAATAAAAGTTGTAGTTTAAGAATTGATAAAAGTTGTGAATTTTATGAAATGTATGATAGAAAATGAATATGAGAAAAAATAAATATAAAAAAATGGGAACTAAATGGGGCTAAATAGATTTTGGCAATGTAAACCGTCATAGATAAGGAAATGTTAAAGAGTTTTTGTGACATTTTGACTTTTTCTAAATATTTAAGATTATTTAATAAATAGTTAATTTTATAATTAGCATATAATCTTTCATTTTATAATTATTTAGAACCTATAATTAGGATCTTCATTTTTGTAATTCATAAATAGATAAAAATGAAAACGAAAAAGGGAGAGTAGTAGCCTGAACAAGTTAGCCATGCTTGTTTACAAGTTTTCTCGGGCATGTCGGCCAAGAACATGTCGCACATGTACTCATTTATGACTCAATCGAACAACCAAAATGCAACTTGACAACCAATAATTGGTGTCAATTGATTAAGGTTTAAAATATAATTTATGAAAAGTTCCAAATTGTAATAGTTGGGCTAGTGTTTTAACAATGATTAACTCTCAATTATCAATTTGACAAACATGACCTTCATGTAAAGTAGCTTTCCTTTTTCATTAATGAATATTAGTTAATCTCTTTATTTCTACTCCCACTGTTAGCAAAAAAAGGTGTTACATTGAAAAAATTTAAAAATGCTTCAAAGGTAAAAGCTACTTTTAGTTGCGGGGCAGTAACTTTTCTTTCAACTTTGGGCCTAGGCCCAATATACAGGGTGGTCGGATGAAATAAAATGTGACAAACAATCAACTCGACTATCAGAAGCCAGTGAAATGGTAGCAAACAAAGCTAGTCGATTGACCAATGTATTTCTCAAACGAGGAATAAAGTAACAAGTGTCAAAGCTTATTTCTTGTAAAAGAGCTACAATATCGAAGAAAGTTAAAATATTACAACTAAGGAAGAGAAATATTAAACATCTCAAATTGAATTCACATGACTTTGCAAAATTAAAATTATTGCATTTACTGTGTCAAAATGATTACGAATCATCGTTCCTAGCCCTATTATCTCATCCTCACACCTCAGTCCTCATAGCTGAGTTCTCTCGACTCGTATTGAAACAATAATTTTTACCCCTCAATGTCCAATTAATTGTCGCGTCATAACACATCATTGCCCACTGTCCCAACCCTCCGAACATCAACGTCTGTATTAGTAAAATGTCATGTTCACTCTACAAAGATACATGACGTAGAGGAAGATTATAGGAAAGATGAACAATCTCACAAAGATGAGATAAAACTCACAAAAATAATAAAATTATCTATTATTTTATTCAATCATCATTAGCCGAACCTACAAAGAACAAAGTATATTTAACATAACATGAAAAACTTATACTACATTTCTTGTGGGAAAAACAGTAAGCTCCTCCTTTAAAATACACCAAGGTAATTACAGTTACATTATCTACTCATACTTTTTAGGTTTCTTTTACTTTTTTAGGCATTTTATTTCTTTTATTATTTTTTATTTTTTATAGTGGAGAGTTGGATTGCACGGGCTTATTCAATTTTCTTGAGTGAACCCATAATCCGACCCAACTCAATCCGCTTACACAATCAATCCACCAAACTCGTGTAAAAATAACAAAAAAAATGAACACAACTCGATCGGGTTGGTTCGGTTTGGACGGGTTCGGTCTGCCCACCCCTAACTGTCACCGCTCTGTCAAAATGATTACGAATCATCGTTCCTAGCCCTATTATCTCATCCTCAGACCTCAGTCCTCATAGCTGAGTTTCAAAGTTTCGGTCTCAATAACTGTTTGATACAGTTCTCTCGACTCGTATTGAAACAATAATTTTTACCCCTCAATGTCCAATTAATTGTTGCGTCATAACGCATCATTGCCCACTGTCCCAACCCTCCGAACATCAACGTCTGCATTAGTAAAATGTCATATTCACTCTACAAAGATACAGATTCCGTCACCACATTTTTTGCCCCCATTCTAAAATCTTATACGTGTACGGACCAAACGCCCCCTAGTAACAAAATGCAAGCCCCAGAGGAGCAAACACTCTGTCCGAGCCATGAGTTCAACTATTGAAGAGCTTTCTTAATCATAGTCTACAGAATTTCGTTTGTTAATATCAACCAGATTTCAACCTTTTGGTTCATAATCTGGACTTGCCTTGCCAGCTCTGAGCATCACAAAAGGAAATCATCAAAACACACTCCTTTATGATACTCCACTTCTTAGGTCCCGCTGTAAACGAACACTTGAAACGGAGACATTCGCCGTCCAATTCCATTTGGCCCTCTGTCCATGGTTTTCCCTTCATTTCCTCTTCCGAGTGCTAACCCTAAAAATCTAACACAAACATAAAGAGGCTCTCTCTGCGCACCAGGCTTTCCGCTGTTCAAGAGAACGCCAATTGGGATTGATAATCTCAAATTCCCGCAACTGGGTATTCTCCAGTTTACACCGAATCTTGAAAATATAGTTCTGCAGAGGCATTTTATCTAACAGTTTAATGGCGTCTATTGGGACCTTTCAAATTGCGGTGGACAGTTCTATACTTCTTAACGGTAGAAATCGCCATCGACCCATGATTCCTATACTTGCATACAGGCCAAAAAAATTTGTTGATGCTGGGGGTTTGTCTAATTGCCATACAGCTGGATTTTCAAGAATTTTGAGTGAAGATAATGTTGGGAGATTATCGTTACATTGTGGAAGTGTAGGGTGGAGATCGAGGATAAAGTTCGTACAGGCGACAGGGAAGGGATCAGAGGAAGCTGAGAGTGGTGATGAAGAAGATGATGCTTTACAGGTCACAACTGAAAAGAGCAAGAAGGTTCTGGACATGCAAAAAGACCTACGAAAACAGGTTTCTTAAATTCACCGATATCTTTTTCTTGTGTGTAGCAGGTTTTGCTTTTACATCATATCGATGCTATATTTTTCACGTGTCAATCTTAACATATGAAGCGATTTCAATGTTATCAAATCATGTATTTCCGAGAATGAAAATTATTATTTTAATCAGTATCCAGAAGTATTGAAAGCTCTGAAAATTTAAAATCGTTTAATTTCTTCTACACTTTTCTTTTAATTTTTCAATGTTTTGAATCTGGCTGGGAAAGTATAAGCTAGCTAACGATGAACTAATTTCATAAGTATTAAAGTTGATCTTTTACAAACATTCAATTTTTGGTAAGAGGAAATATTATGTATGAAAATTTGTTATTATAGCACTTGAAGAGGTGGGGGTCCTTTTACCTTTTTTCCACTTTTCTGTTCAATCGGGAAAGAGAAATCAATCTGGTTTTGGACTCCACTTTGCAGATTGCAGAAAGAGAGAATCCAGAAAGCGATGAATTGCCTTATAAGGAGAGTAATGGAAAATTTTCAATTATTGGCATTGCAACAACTGAAGGTGATAAGAACAATGAAAACCTTGATGATGACAGCTTGCCCACTAGCGGCGTTCACTCAGCTGTACATGATGTGAATGAAAACCTAGCTTCCAGTGAATATTCATTTGACACTATGACACAACCTGGAAAAGACGTGCCTCATAATGAGATTTCCTTTCAGCCAAAACTCGATCAACATTTGAAAGTCACTACTTCAGAGTCAGTTCAATCTCAGGAAGTGCCATCTGTTCCTCCGAGATCGTCTGTGTCACCCAGTCCAGAGCCTTTTCCAAATAAGGATTCTTACAAGTGGGTGAACAACAATGCAGAGACCATAATAACAGGTTCAGAGACCTCCACCAAAGTAGACCCAGACAAGTTAAAGGATGCTAATGTGGGGAATACCTTTTTATATGATGCACCATCAAGCCTGAAATATGAGACTAATAAAAATGCTAAACAATCAAGTCTAGAGGACACAAGTGTTAAAGTCCAAGATCCCACAGGCGAAGATGTGAAACCCCCTCCACTGGCTGGTCCCAATGTAATGAACATAATATTGGTCGCTGCAGAATGTGCTCCTTGGTCTAAAACAGGTATGTCCATAACAAGAGAATTTTCTAAAAGGGAAATGGATTTCTCAGATTCCTTTACCTTTGCATGCAGAAGTTATTATACATATCCGATAATAAATATGTAGCGGATTCTTTTCAAGACAGATGTAAATAACGGGTGTTGTGATCGCATTTATTAAAATGCTTGCAAATGGGAAATACGTGTCTATTTTTAATAATAAATATTAAAGGCGATGATGTTAATCTTACTGATGGAAGAGATTTGAAATACATGCAAACAGGTAGGTAGTGGATGCTTGTACAACGTTGCGTAACTGGATTCTTTTGTAATCCACACTAAATTGCTGACTGATACTTCCAGAGCATTCTAATGTTAGCCTATTCTTTTAACAATATCTGGGGAATAAGCTAAAAGACTAGTGGACTGTGCTCTAGGCTTTTCCCCTTGCAAATCCTGCTGCTAAAGAATGCAAAATGTCAAACAGGAAAACCAGCACCGAGGAATAGATTAGGTAAGGAGGCCAAAAAGGGTTGGGATGCCAGGGTTCTTAATCTGTTGTTGGTAAAATGAATGTTGACAATAAAATTAGGTTTTTGTTTGTTTTCTGGTATTTGCTTGTTGACTCTTAGGTCATGGTCCTTGTGAACTAATGAGTACGAAAATTATGTCAGGTGGGCTTGGAGATGTCGCTGGAGCTTTACCCAAGGCTTTGGCTCGACGTGGACACAGAGTCATGGTAAAGTTTGATTTACTTTTTTACTAAACATGGTGTTCAAAATTGATGCATCTAATGATGTTATTTTCAATAGAGAACCCTTTTCATCACAGTGGCCAGTTTTATTAATTACCTCATAATTTAGTCTTCAAATGTTGGTGGTGTTAACATAATCAACATTTACTGAAGCAACAAAATTCTCAGTTTCTGAATCTTATCAATCATGTTAAATTTAAGTTTTTGTTTTCTATAATTGATAGGTTGTAGCACCTCGTTATGGTAACTATGCTGAACCTCAACATTCAGGAGTTCGGAAAATGTATAAAATAGATGGCCAGGTAATTTTCGCAAAGACAATGTTATATAGATTTATTTTATGTGCAGGTTTATAACATAGTGGTATATTTTTCAGGATTTGGAGGTGACGTACTTCCAGACCTACATTGATGGTGTAGATTTTGTTTTTATGGATAGTCCTCTGTTTCGGCATATAGAAAATAATATTTATGGAGGGAACCGTGTGGTAAGATATTTTCATATGGTTTCAGCTTTATGCATACATTTATTCCTCCCATGGAAGAAACATAATATTATTGATTGATGCCTTTCCTCATGGTAGAGATGCCCTTGTGTATTCATTTTGTTCCTTGACGCAGTTAGCTGACATTTTTATATATAAGCCCCTGTTTGACAAACAAATAAAAGATTTTTTTTTTTTTTTGGAAAAATGAGTTTTGGAATATTGTGATTTTTTTGGAGATTGTGTAGTTAAAAAATAAGAAAAAGTCTTAGGTTTACGTGCAAAATATTTTATTGTGTGAACGTGTTGTTGAAAATGAGTTTGAAAAAAAAAAGAGTAATGAGAAAATGGATGATGAACAGGGGCTAAATAAGTAGTTTGGTACTTTATGGTTGTCACAAACTGTTTGCGTAGCTTCCAAGAGAGTGATCATCTACGCTGCTGAAACTAATTGTGATTTCTGATGGATTGAGTTTTCATTAGGTATATTTAATCATTGACATTGACATATTAGGCTTCTCTAATATCCCTTTTCAACAATCTTTAGGTTCTTAATATTTGTTTCTTTGTCGCCTTTTGCAGGATATTTTGAAGCGTATGGTTTTGTTCTGCAAAGCTGCTGTTGAGGTATGATTAAATTAAGGGCCTGTTTGTTTCAGATTAAAATCAGATTTTAATTTAAGTCAAAGTCAAATAATCAATATTAGCTACATTTTTCATGGTCCCACAGCTTTTCAGCCACACATTTCAAAAACTTATATCACAATCTACTAAAAATCTAATTTTAATCCCCACCAAACACCCACTAAGCTGTGGAAAATCAGAGTCTATGAAATAGCTTCCTTTGTAGTGGTCAACTGTCTTGGAAAGGGAAAAAGCAAAGAAAAAATAATCTTCTATTGCAACTGTAGTCTTATTTATTTTTTATTTTTGGCCCCCCCTCCTTTTTTTTTGGGGATGGGGATTGGTTATGCTTGAGCTCTTTTGCAAGTATTCTTGAATGGCCTGGTTCGCTTGTGTCCTAATCTCCATCTGCAAGGATGTCATATGAATAGGATAAAAATGGTGATTACAGGTTCCTTGGCATGTTCCATGTGGTGGGGTCTGCTATGGAGATGGAAATTTAGTTTTCATTGCAAATGATTGGCACACTGCTTTACTGCCAGTGTACCTTAAGGCATATTACCGTGACAATGGATTGATGAAATATACGAGATCCATTCTTGTGATTCATAATATTGCGCACCAGGTTGGTTCGTATAGCCCTATTCATGGAATTTTAGATGATCTAATGTATGTTGTAATTTGAACACTCCATGAACAGAAGTGTCAGCACTTGATGCAGGTGTGTAGGTAGAGATTGAATCACCACTAGAAAATGATACATGAACGTACTGCCGTGTTTAGAACAATAGGTGTGCATTGTACTTCTCTCCGCCTACTTATTTGTACTCTCACCTTTGGCATAAGGTCACTGCAGTTTTTGCATAAAAATTTTCAACAGCCTGCCAAAATACTAATGATTTGATATCAGCATGTAGAATTTTGCCTACCTCTTTCTTGAATTCTTCCAAATACTGCAAAGATGCTAGAATTAATATGCTGTGGACATACTTCAAGCACCTCTTTACTAATCATGTCTGTCTGATACCCTAAGCTATCTCATCAAGGAAAGAAAGCAGAGGGCATAAATATATCAGACTTTGAGTTGAGATATTGGACAGTTGTAAAAACTACTTTTCAACTCGAACTTTTGAAAGAAAGCTAATGAATTTGGCCAACTATAGCTAAAGACAATATGTAGATTAATAATGGATAAGATTAGTTGACTAAAGTGGTTGGTGAAAATGTGTACTCAACTTTCTATGCTCTCAATTCATTGATTTCCAGAATTGTACTGAAGTAGCTGATTTCTGAAAGGTTGCGGTTTTAATAAGGTTACTTTTGAAATGGAAATTAATAATCCTGTAATCTCACTTTTGGTTCTTTTGGCTGTCTGCAATCTCACTTTGGTTCTTTTGGCTGTTCATTTATATTCACCTATAATCAGGGCCGTGGTCCTGTGGATGATTTTTCCTACATGGGTCTTCCGCCACACTACTTAGACCTTTTTAGGTTGTATGATCCGGTTGGAGGAGAGCACTTAAACATCTTAGCAGCAGGTCTGAAGACGGCAGATCGTGTACTTACAGTTAGTCATGGATATTCTTGGGAGCTAAAAACCCCTGAAGGCGGCTGGGGTCTACATGGGATTATAAATGACAATGATTGGAAATTTTGTGGAATTGTAAATGGTATCGATACAAAGGATTGGAACCCCGAATTAGATATTTACCTACAATCTGATGGGTATATGAACTACTCCCTCAATACTCTGCAGACTGGGAAACCCCAGTGCAAGGCAGCATTGCAGAAGGAGCTTGGTTTGCCTGTCCGTGCTGATGTCCCGTTGCTTGGTTTCATTGGGAGACTTGATGGTCAAAAAGGTGTTGATCTGATAGCAGAAGCGGTTCCCTGGATGATGGGCCAGGATGTGCAGTTGGTCATGTTGGGCACTGGTAGGCCGGATCTTGAACAGATGCTTATACAGTTTGAGGCCCAGTACAGCGACAGAGTTAAGGGGCGGGTTGGTTTCTCTGTGAAGACAGCTCACCGGATAACTGCTGGTGCAGATATACTTCTGATGCCATCAAGATTTGAACCTTGTGGACTGAACCAGATGTATGCTATGTGTTATGGGACAATTCCAGTCGTTCATGCAGTTGGTGGACTAAGAGATACGGTGCAGCCTTTCAACCCTATTGAAGAGACGGGGCTTGGATGGACTTTTGCAAGGGCTGAGACAAATGAACTGATCAATGCGTTAGGGAACTGCTTACTAACCTATCGACAATACAAAAAGAGTTGGGAGGGTCTCCAGAGACGGGGAATGATGCAGGATCTAAGTTGGGATAAAGCTGCTCAAAACTACGAGGAAGTACTTATTGCTGCCAAGTACCAGTGGTAATTTTCCGCAATATTGACATAAGGAAAGTAGTCTTGGCGGAATGTCATCCTTTTACCGTCTTTGCATAGTGGCTTGGTGTCAATACACGGGCACCAGCAAAAAATGAAATGTAAGATCATATCCTTGCTTTTGCAAGAAAGATTTGGCCAACGAGGAGATCAGAATTCAGAGATAGCTTCCTATGCATATTGTATAATCCTCGTTAGAATTTGGTGAAACTATATACAAATTCGACCTTCTTAATCAGCTTTATGTCGGAATTTAACAGCAGGCTTACTTGCGTAAATGCTTCACTGTGTGGTTCATAATCGACATGCAACTCATGCAGCAATGTCTTAGGTTTTTGCATTGTCCTTTTCTTCCATTATAATTCTTAGCATTGAAGATGAATGGTACAGTATTGAATGTTTGGTACAAACAATTTATAGTATTAGACAGAAGAAAAAGAAACTAATTTTTGTTAAATTTTAGCTTCCAAAATGCAATGTTTTCATTCAAGAATGTCATGTAAGATCTGTTCGATGCATGGGCATGTGGTATTTGTTATAATATAAATTTGACCGCTGTAGTCGGACTAAATATATTCACTTCGCGTTTTAATTGTATGAAAATCTTCATAACGTTATTCATCATTATATTTTCATCATATTCTTATTCTCAAATTAATAGTTGTTATTTCCAACAATTTCATCAAGATGAAGTAAAAAAACTTATTTATCCTTCATATTTAAAAAAAAAATAAATTACAAAATTAAGATTAAATATTCATATTAAAGCAGTATATACAAAAATCATGATTAAAGACAAGATTCTTAGTTAGTAAAAAAAGTGAAAGATAATAATATAATTAAAAAATTAAGGATATAAATATGACAATTAATAAAAGTTAAAAGATCTTTATTATAAATAAATGTAGTATATTTATAAAGGGAAAAATCCATTTGTCCTACTTTATCTTTACCCTATTTCAAAAATAACAAAACAACTTTCACATTTCAAAAATAAGATTTTTTGACCTATACCTACACATATTTATAAATATTTATTTATATATTTAAATATATAAAAAGATATAAATAAATAAATAAATAAATAAATAAATAAATAAATAAAAAAAAATA